TTGGCCATTTAACCGAACATATGAGCTTCATTTAAAAGCCACCCGACTTCATTTGAACGAGCCATTGCGAGGATGCCTGCAGTGGCTCCTGATGGAGGTCAATTGATCAGACGGCAGTGTTTTAACACTTTTTTTCCCTCCAAGATGCAGTGACGTGTGGGTAATAGGTTCCGCCGCAGTGCTCTCTGCATTGACTGGTGGACAAAGGCCAAATAGTGTGAGAGCATGTAGGAGAGAGGGAGGAAGAGAGAGAGAAAGAGGAGCATTTTGTCTTTTTTTTTTTAGGGATGATCACAGGAAACAAATTTCCATAATCAGAACATAGCCGGTGTGTTAAAGGTTGGTTCGTCTGCCTCTCCTCTTATGAACGGTGTCCTGATTTTACATTAACCTCACAACATGAACAATGGCCAAGGACAGTGTGTATGTGTTTGTGCGTGCGTTCCAACTGTGTTTTAGCTGCGCTCACTTCCTGTACAGTCGGGACATAAATCTTGCTGAGTTTCCGAATCAGTCAGCCATCCCCTGCAGTCCATTATAGCTATAATTCCCCTAATGAGGTTTGTACTCGTACAAGCTACAGCAGCCGTACAGGCCACGCATTTACAGTGATATATTTCAGCTAGATTATTGGCATATTTCTCTGCTTCAGCTATTTTGGGTCTGTGCAGGCGGATTAAATTTAGAATAATTTTTTTTTAAAGTAAGCACAAAAACTGATGTGTCCTTCGACCCACTCTCCCCATGTCTGGTTCCTTTGTAGGTCTCTTCAAAAGGTACTTCTTCTCTGTAGGTCTTGGCGTGCTCTCAGCTTTAAGGCGAACCTTTAAATGAGCTCATATAAAATTCCCTTTAAGGATAGACATTATGGCGAAGGTTTTCTTTTAAATAAAGGTTAAAATAAAGCGCTTTTACATGGATGAAGGTTTTAGATTTAAAGAAAAGTGATGATTTTGATGAATTTGAATAAAACAGCTTATATATTGATGCATTTTTTCATATGTTGATGAGGAAGAAAACAAAGCGTAGAACCTGATAGCTTAGAAAATGTTTTTTTTTTTTTTTATATATATATTCACATATTTGCATTTATTCCAGAATGAGAACATTTTGTTTTAGGCTTTGCTATAATACAGCGCATTGTTTTCAATAGGAATAACCTTTGCTGATGTTTTGATGATGATGGATGGATTGTATGATCAGCTGTTAATGATGCAGCGAGAACAGAATGAGTGGAGAGGCGAAGGATGCGGCATTTTTAGACCTTTTAGAGAATGGAGCCGTCAGCTTTCTGAAACAAACAACTACACCACTACTTTCTTCTTTTTACTCCTAAAGTTTGTTTCTTGAATAACAGGCTGGATTTTTATCAGCAAGAGCACCAAGTACACACTCATTAAATGCTAGAAAATAAGAGCCTGCTGTGTTTTTGTCTTTAAACAAAGAGCAGCATCAATAAATCTCTATAGAAGGTACTAGTTGGACGAAATCATCTACAGTAACATTTAGCATCTCTTTTTTTATAATGAAAAAGTGGGTCTGCTTAGAAACTAATATGTTTTGGGATTAGTGGAAGAAGCAGATGAAACTGCATCCCTTGAGTCAGTGTCTGCAAAACCGGGTTCAGTTCTGGACTAATTTCTAATTCTTGTTCTTTGCTGCTATAAGGCAAGTTGGACCAGCTGCTTCTTTTCAAACTGCTGTTTAATTATCTGCACTTAAACAACGACTCAACCTTACTCGTTATTTCGAGGCAGAAATAAAGTAATAAATTTGATTGTGTTGCCTTTTACTATACATTTAAAAAAGAATGAATTGCTTGTTATCACTTATTTATTATTATTAATTTAAAATAGAATATTAGTAATTGTGGCACTCATTTCTGAAACAGCACAGAATATGTTGTCCAGTAGGACAACCGCATGTTTGTACAGACAGCACAGCAACATCTTAGTATCAGGGGTCTATAATAAATTATTTACCTGCTAAAAGTGGTCTAAAGTTTTGGTTGATGTGTTCCTTGATCTTCATGATGCTCTCTGCACTTTAAACAGACCTTTGAGACGATCACAGAGCAGGTGCATTTAGACAGAGACACAATTCTATTTATCAGCAGCCATTTAGGTCAACACAGGTTTCATAAAACGGGAGTTTTATGAAACCTGTTTTTAAGGTGAGACAGCCAGTAGGAAAGTTCAAAACATTTATTAAAACAAAAACAAAGTGAACAGAAGCGCACCGCTGTGGAACTGCGACCACAGCAACTGCAGGTGCGGGCCGCAACCTATTACTGATTCTGGTTTTAACAGAACAGCCCACTCAGGAACAGACAGATCCAGGATTTAATCAGAGCGCAAAGGCAGGTTCAGCGTCCCGTGTGTCGAGCATCCAGCTCAGACAGAAACCTTGGGGGCAAAATCCAGCAGGAGTCTAACAGACGTTGAGACTAGTAGACCAGACAGGGCCAATGGATGAGAGGGAACGGAATCAGGAAGACAGAATCACTAGGTAAATGCTGAAACACTCTCACCACTGGTTAGGGAAATAACTCGCCTGAGGTCACTGGCTTAAGAATAAACTCCTGACTGGAAAAGGGACAATAACCCTGGAACTAACTAAAATTAACAAAACTGACTGACCGGAAAAACAGAAATCAAACAGGGAACAAACAAACAATGATCAGCCATGATAGCTGGAACTGAGCCTAATATAAGGGAAACCTGCAGGTGGATTAGATTAGTGATAATTGGGAGCTAGAGAGAGTTAAGCAGGTGAAAGGCATGAGTGATTTAGGTGAGCTATCAGGGCAGATCATGACAACAGGATATTTTGCAGATCCTCACAGAACCTCTGGAGAGAGTTTGCTGCACTAAAAGCAAATAATTTTGCATGCCTCATTTTTCAGATTTTTTATTGTTTAAAAAAGTTTAGAATATCCAATAAATTTAGTTCCACTTCATGGTTGTGTCCTGCTGGTTGATTCTTCACAAAATAAATAAATATATATATATATCTTTATCAGAGGCGTGCACAGACATTTTGGGGGGCAGGTGCTCAGGAGGGGGGGGGGGGGGGGGGCACTTTTTAGCGCACGTGTAACACTTAATTATAAAAAAAATAAACGCATGTTGAATGAAATTTGACTTTTATTAGTAACATTCTCTAAACGTGAGTTTTCAATGGAAAAAAGTCACATCACCAACAGAACAGACTAAAGCATACTTCTTTCATCTGGCTCATCTCCCTGTTCTCCCTCATCCTGGTCTTTTTCTGTCTCTGTGTCTTCCCTGAACTCTTCCTCATCTCCTGTCCTGGTAGATGTTGATGGTATAGAGCTTCCCTGCTGTGACTGGCTACAATATATTAATAATAACCACCATGACAATAATAATGATAATAATGATAATAATAATAATAATAATAATAGCTTTAACAAATATGCCACATTAGTTTAAATAATGGGCTATTAGGGCAACATGACTGGAAGTCTTGTCACATGGATATGACTTATGGTAGCCTACAAAATAATAGCTATTTTAAAACCTGCTGCACAAACCACTTAAAAATAAAATGTGAACAGCTTTTAAGATTTTTCAATATGATTATTGTGCTGCAATTACTAAATCAATATACAATTAAGAAAATAAAGAGACCAAAATGTGTTAATTTATGTTGCCTAACAAAACCTATACAACAGAAAACGTTTGTCTTAACACATAGATTTGTACAGAAGAGGATAGAATTCTGACTTTTTTATTGTCAGAATTCTGAGATTAAAGTCAGAATACTGAGCAAAAAGTCAGAATTCTCAGCAAAAAGTCAGAATTATGAGAAAAAAGTCAGAATTATGAGAAAAAAGTCAGAATTATGAGAAAAAATTCAGAAATCTGAGATTAAAGTCAGCATTTTGACTTTTTTCCCATACTAAACTGAAATAAAATTTAAAAATCAGTTAACTTATTTTTTTTCTTCAGTGGCCCTAATCCTCTTCCGTAGATTTGCAATTGCAAACTCTACCAAAATTATTTGTAGCCTATGTGGTCGTCCTCACGTTATCTGTCATTGACTTGGGCTACAGTGTAAAACTTTCAGAATCAGAATCAGGTTTATTGCCATTGTTAGTGAAGGAGTTCACAAACTAGGAATTTTTTATGGTACAATCGTGCAACATGAAACATATAATATGGAATAGGTAAATAAAATTATAAAAATATCTAAAAACTGTGGGTATAAGTCATGCAATAAAATAGACTAATGTATACACTTAAGATAAAAAATATGGATACAAAATATAAAAAGTAAAATAGCATCTTACAAGGAGACAACTAGTTTATCTGGTGACCAGTCGGCAAAATGCGTGTTTGGTGCTGCTGAATGAGACATTTTAATGCACAACAAAATGATTCTGCTTGATCTGTATATTACCTGGCTAATGGGGCACGGGAGAAGCAGCCTGTCAGCGACCGTTCCTGCTATCTGAAAACTGCTATGATGCTGCGCATCTGGCATGCCCTGCGGGCGACCAAGTGAGTTCACGTGACAAAGGAAGAGAGAGAGGCTGGTCGTTTGTGCGCAAGTAGGTCGGTCATTTCGGGGCATTGTTTCAGTCGTTTTTAATGGCTCAGGTTTTCAAAAGATCATTTCAAAACCGACCTCAGTAAAATATTAATAATATTAATAATAATAATAAAAAAAACGAGTTTCAAAAGGGCATTTTCTTTGATAAAGGGCAAACTTCCTAGTGCTTTAGCACCACCTAGTGTCTATGTGTGCACGCCCCTGATCTTTATGAAGCCTGAAATGTGGCAAAAGGTTGAAAAATTTAAGGGGGCTGAATACCTTAAGGCACTATATATGTTTAAAATGTATATTCATATTTGTAGAAATGTGAAAGAAAAGGAAACAAATGGCACAACATTGTTTTAGTATTCTTTTTGCATTTACAGTTTTATTCTGAGAAGGACATTCATGGCTTTCCATATCACTGCCTCTGTATGCAGGGTGGAGTTTCAGCATGGGATCAGCCTACCAGTTCCACAGCTGGAGAGTGTTTGTGGTGGTCTGTGCACTGCCTTGCGTCTCTGCAGTAGTAGCTCTCACTTTTATGCCTGAGAGCCCCCGCTTCTTCCTGGAGGTAAAAATGACACAATAATGTTCTACAAGCAGCACTGACATTTCCTCCTAAAGCTTGGAGTCAATGAGTTTCAATGCTATGTTTTTATATACACATCCATGTATCACAAACTCCTGCGAAAAGGCCAAACACAATGAACCAATGCTAAAGATGGAGACTGTCTCCTTATCTCTTTCTCTTTCACTTCAATAATATGTGTTTTAGAGCTTTTTTGACCTTAAAGTACACCAATTGATAAATGCACTTCCTTTGTTTTAACAGTGCTTCAGGGAAATACAAAACAATGAACCCAGTGTTTAATATAGACAAATCTTTTGAAATTGTCTTTTAATTTTAAATGGTTTTCTGAAAAAAAAAAAAAAATAGAGCCATTTTTGTAACCCTTTTATTTCCCGGAGGGTACACACAAGTGTTTGACTTATACCCCTTTCCTACTGGCCAAAAATTCTGTTTAAACACCTGAAAAATTAGCATTAAGTGGCAGAGGAAACAGCTAACTGACCCTCTGCGAACTGCATCAAACGACGCGGCAAGCAACGCAGGTTGAAATCACCTTCAAGAAGCTTTCTGCAGTCTATCTCTGCATGCATCCCATAAGCATGGTGCAGATTTGGTAAGAGGGACTGGGGCGAACACATGAGCCAAACAATAAAGCACACTGACGTACTATGTGCTGGATCCATTCTATATACCTCTTCATTGTTCACTTTCCTGATTTCTATGACATCATTAATGCTAACCCAGCCTGACAGGGGCCACACACTTTGCCAGTGGGGGGTCACACCTTGCTTTTTGCCAAATGGGAAAGGAGCCAAATCTGCTCATTTAAGTGTGACAGCAGCTTTATGTGTATTTTCAGTGGTCACAGCGTTAGATAAATTGGCAGTTTACACATTTTGCTGGTGCTACATGGCTTACCAGTCTCCTATACAGTAAAAAAAAAGTAGAAACACTTACCAACTATCAAGTCCCTTATTGGTGGCCTTGCCTGTTTTGGTGGAAGAGCTATTGCTGGTTCCCCATCCAGTCTTTACTGGAAGCACGATCTGTGGCAGCAGCTCATTTGCACATGCACCGGATATTCAACCAGGTCGTAGTCAGGGTTTGATTGAGTTTTGACGAAATATGCAGAGGCAAGGAGGCACAGGTGAGTTCTTGAAGATTTAATTAAATAACCTAGGCCAAAAATCCAAAAACCAAGATGCAAATACATGGAACCAAAATCCAGAAAATTTTATGGGAAAACTCACATGGGGAGCCAGGAAAAGATGAGGAACCAGCACTGAGAAACTGCACAGAGAGATGTAATTATTATTTATATATGAATCTAACATTGGAATCAACCATTGGTCCATAGAAGTCATAGAAAGGAACTGATTGGCTGATGCCGGGAGATCTAGGATCAGTTAATAATTAGACAAGCCACAGAAAGGTACAGAATGTGATCAGAACTGCAGGCCTCGTCCTTCTGTTCTGAAATCAACAGGAAAGTGCATTTCTAACTAGGGATGCATCAATTCACATTTTTAAATAGTGATCTGACTCTGATACTAAAATTTGAGCATAAGCAGATCCTGATATAATACCTGCATATACCAAAGCTCTGCTTGATTTAATTCGATCATCATTACTGTTGATTTTTTAGGATGCTGTCATAAACCCTCCTCTGCAAAGATGTACGAATATATATATTAATGTAGAGTTAAGTCAATAAAGTTTTTTTTTTTTCAAATATTATCGTATTGAGCGACACCCACATGTGTTTGCCCAATAATTTTTGTAATAGTACACATGCCTTAAAAGGGAAGATCATACTTTGTCTTCCCTCCATTATCTTTCCATTTGTAATGTTTTGTTTGATTTGTTAATGTTTATTTTTGTTTAAATGAAGGCTTCTATAACATTATCTGTTACTGCACTTTTTTTTAAATCTAAATGAAGAAAGAAAAAGCAATATTGGCTGAAAGAATCGGCCTAAACATTTCAGCAATATATTCGAATAGTACAGACTGATATCAAAATAATTGGTATCGGCAAAAAAAAAATAAAATAAAAATACATTGGTTGATCTTTACATGAATGTGTGCATGTATGTCCCAAAAAGGCTAATTGAAACTAGTATAAAGTCAGAAAATAAACTGTAGGGGTTCAAATTGACTGTTTTCAGAATCAGAATTGCTTTTAATATGTTAATTGCTTTTAATAAGTTAAAAACTAATCCAAAATGTATTCATCTAAACCCACATTCCAAAAAAGCAGGAAGCTCTTGTGCTGATCTATGGATTTTTTTTTACTTTTAACATAAATATATTATAGAAATAGACCAAATACGCCTCCCCATTTGCCCCCTTGGACCATTTTTACCAATATCTATAATTTTCTTAAATATCGGAGCCGATTGTGATATTAATATCCATTCAGTGCATCTCTGTTTTTAACATGTGACCTTAAAAGAAGAACAACAAAAAAAACAATCTGAGCCACTGATCACTTTGCAGCCCTCATTTCTGCCATTAAATCAGCTTCTTAGAATTATATATCTAAGCTAAAATAATAATCCGAAAGTTATGCACAGAAGACTTCCTACCACATAAAAATCTTGTCTACCTGATGAATTCTGGGATGATATGCTGTAATTCATGAGTTTAACTTGTTAAACATGTCTGTCTTCAAGACGGGTAAACACGACGAGGCATGGATGGTCCTCAAACACATCCATGACACCAACATGCGTGCCCGAGGAGAGCCTGAGAGGGTCTTCACTGTGAGTACACTCTCTATGACTCATGGAGATTCATGGAGTCTCCCCATCTGTTGAAGTTCCATCAGCTGCTCAACAGCTCAGTGTCTCCCTCTCCAGGTGAACCGGATAAAAATCCCCAAACAGCTGGACGAGCTGGTGGAGATGCAGAACGAGTCAGCAAACCCTGTGCTTAAGGTCCTCTTCAAGATGAAGACAGAGCTCAGAGGAGTATGATGCAGTTTGATCGATCTGAACTGAGCTGTGTACAGATCATTCAGTGCTCTAAACATGTTTTTTATATCCTAACAGATCTGGTTGACGTTTATGAGATGTTTCGACTACCCAGTGAAAGAAAACACCATGAAACTGGCAGCGGTGTGGTTTACGTTGTCATTTGGGTAAGGGATGATTTTGCAGTGCTGTGCATCTTAATGATGCTATCTATGGCCCTAGGTTGATACTTCACTTAATAATCAATACTTCCTCCTCACTCATTTACAGTTTTTGTAAATAACTTTGCTCTTAGGAAATGAGTGTATCACTTATTCAATTCAATTCAGTTTATTTATATAGCGCTAATTCACAACACATGTCATCTCAAGGCACTTTACAGTTCATCAGATTATACAGTCTTCTATCTAGTTTTCTATCTAAGGAAACCCAGTTGATTGCATCGACTTATTGACTCAAAGGCAATCCCTCACTCTAAGCGAGATGAAGCTACTATGAGCAAAAGCAAAGACAGCATAACATTAGAGATTAAACTAACAGATCTCCTATATTGGGAGTATAGAGATCGAATGAAGTAGGATGATGAAAAAGGGGTCCCTATGTCCTCCATCAGTCTAAGCCTATAGAAGCATAACTATAGAGATGCTCAGGATAACCTGAGCCACTCTAACTATAAGCTTTATCAAAATGGAAAAGCTTTAAGCCTAGCCTTAAAAGTAGACAGTGTGTCTGCCTCACGGACTAAAACTGGTAGTTGCTTCCACAGGAAAGGAGCCGGAAAACTAAAAGATCTGCCTTCAGTTCTACGCAGATTGAGAGCAAAGTGCTCTGTTAGGAACATAAGGAACAATCATATCTCTGATATAAGTTAGAGCTTGGCCATTTAAGGCTTTATATGGCCACTTATATTATCACCATGAATGTTGAGAAATATAATTCGATATTTTTCTAGATGCATTTTCCTCACAACCTAAGAAATGACCAGAACCGTGCCTCCACACGAAACGCAAATATAAAATCACATTTCTAAAGTCTGCAGGCTTTTTTGCAGCCATTAGGGACCCTCATCAATCTTTATCATGCTTTATATCAGTCAGTGACAGTTCTTACACGGATGACCCACCTTCTGACACCCACTATTTCCTCCTTTTGTTGGAAGGAGGGAAGCTACCACTTTTCATGATACAAACGTTCACAGACAGATTCCCAGTTTTAGGACAAATGGTCTCCTGATTTTCAGCAGCAAACAGGATATGCTAACTCCCTACTGATGGAACCAAAAAAAAAAATCTTGCTCAGGATGCAACAAATACATAACTTCTGTTCTTTATGTACTGTGTTTAGTAACCGATAACCTTACTGCCAAAAGAAAAGGTTTTTACTGGTAGCAGCCAATATACTTTCTAATAATTAAAGCCGAGATGTTTTCACTTGTGTTTCTTGAATAAGATCCTTTCAAGCTTTTTTTGTTTGTTTTTTGAGGAAAGTTATATAAAAAAGGAAGATACTTGTGATGCATTGGATGTTATGTAAATAGATAAATAACATAAGACGGTACAGAAATTACAGCAAATTCTTTACAGATTTATAGGCTTTATACGCTAATTATGCTTTTTTTTTTGCTTTCTTGTTTTGTTTTGCCAAGTTTTAAATAGAGTAAAAACTGCTGCCTAGTGTTGTTAAATATTTCAAAGGTGATGATGGTAAAAACAACTGACGTGAGGATCTACAAGATCACTCCCCTATGTGAATTACAAGCCATTGAAAACAAAGCTGCAACAAACTCAGAGCAGGTTTAACAGCTATTCACTGAAGCAAAACGTTACCTGAGGCAATTAATTTAACATTTAGCCTAATTAGCAAGCATTAAGGTAAATACAACTGGGTTTTTTACCACCACATTAAGGAGGAGAAGTTATTTAAAAGCAGCTAAAGCCAAATCAATGTTAGAATACAGGCTGTCCGCAGACAGTGGAGGAATAATAATGGAAGTACATAATCAGGCTGTGTATCAATATTTAAACTCCATGCCAGCAGGTTGTCTTCCATATACAGTAGTTAAGTGCCACTTCATAATTAACTAAGCAACCCCAGCTTTTTCCAGGCTAAACATAAACAAACAATGCTATTACGCAAAAAAAGGGAAGAATTGATTGTTACAGATTGGTTGTTATACAGATAAACAACCAATTTCTCTCATTTATAACAGGGTTCTCACCAGAGGTATTGATGACTGAGTGAAGGGGGTATTATTCATCTATATTGTCTTTTTTTGCTTTTTGCTTATTGATCCTGGTTCTTATTTTTTTTTTCGTTTCGTTTTTCTCCATGTTCGAGGCTATGTTCATCCCCTTATTATGCAAACTATCAGGCTGACCCAGAGTGATGTTGCTCTGATCAACCTTCAGCCGGATAAAAAAACCAAACAAACATCTTTTGGTTTCATCTTGAAAGATCGGCTGTTCGGGAAACCTTTAGAACCTGTGTACTGCTTTCAAATCTAGCGCTCTGTCTGCTGGTAGGGTGGCAATGCATGTTTTCACCTGTCTGAAGGCCTCAGGGTGGATCAATGACAGTCTGAAGGATGGAGAGTTCATTTTTTCACCGAACGGTAAACGTGTTTCTAAAATACAGTTTCCACAGCCATTATATTCATTAAGAGTCAGTATATTGCACAGGTGTAACTTCCTGAAGGACTGGTGGGGACATTCCCCACCAATAATTCCAATACAGAGACTTTGGCTCTCAACAATATGTGGGACAATTTTCTAAATTAGATTTTGCCGCTTTTGAAGGAGGATAATCACTGATGTAGCTTAAAGGGAAAACATCCATCAATCCATCCACATTTTTCTGGATGGGTGGCTGGATGAATGAAACTGAAATCCTGTACATAGTAGGGAGGCATTATATATTGCTGTTGGCATCGGAATCAGCTGTTATTCATCCTTTTTTTTAAAAAAAAATTAATGTCTAACTACCCATAAATATAAATATCAGTGTATTTTTGTTCTTTTGTGTTCTTAACAATGGGAAGGAATGCAATAAATATATGTCTGAGCTAATTTTTAGAAAATACAAACCCTACTGAAAGCATTTGTGTCGAGTAACTTTAGGTCCATCAGCCACTACCCTTAAAGTGTCCCCACATACTTTCATCACTAAGTTACACCCCTGGTGTATCGGGCTACTTTCAGTGTAAATTTGACAACTTTCAGTGTAACCAGCGGTTGTGCTGAAATGTGCTGGACAGAGCCATAGAGGGAGGGAGGCCATGTGTCAGTCAAAGGGCTGATACACTAATATAGAGATTTGGGAATTGTTCAAAATTAGCGTGTACCAATTTGTTAGCCTATGAAATTGACCATAGCTGGGACAAAAGTATGACTGTTGTGTTGAGCTTCCCATTGACATTTTTTAGATTTTCAAAGAGTCCTTTTACCTGCTGGAAGTAGAATTAAAAGTATTTCATCCGCTAAATACTTTAAATAAAATTTGTCTGGATTGCATGTTCCCCAATGACTACATTTAGCTCCATATTCAATTTTTCTTTTAAACAAAGTCCCCATGTCTGCAATGGCTTTCTAATATTAAATGTCATGATGGGATCCTAAAAGTTTGCCCACATGCAGAACACCACTCAGAGGCAGGGTAAAAGATAACCAGTTTATTGACTGAAAGGAAACCAGTGAGACAAAAGACATGAAACGAAAGGGGATTGTCAGCGGGAAAAGACAAAACTAAGGAGGTCCTCAGAGCGACCTGGAAAATTATTCTTGGCTGATGAATGGTTTGTAATAACTCACATAACGGGGGTTCTTGGTTTATCCCTGGAACCAGTTTGTTGGGGTATAGATTTGAGATGGTTGAACTCGTTGGAGGGAGGACAGACAGACTAGTCTTGGGTCCAGAGGAGCAATGGAGCGGGCTGTCACAGGGTTTTCCTAAAGTAGACTTGAACGGATCTGGTGGAGGTTTCCCCTTGCTTAGTGTGACTTTAATAATTCCTTCCAGGGGGGGTAGAAGATCCAGGCTTATCCAGTGGATCAGGAAAGCATCCTACCGGAGAACAAAAGACAAAGGCAAAGCTTAGACTCAGAGAGACAAGGCAATAGTTAGACTAAGCTAATCTCAGTTTGGCTGGAGTAACCAATACTGGCAAACACTTTTGGCCCCAAGGTGGTGACAGCCCGCAGTTCAAATACTCCTCTGGTGGTGACCCAACGAGCCGCAGGTGTGAGAGGAGGCCCAAACGGGGAAGGGGCACCATCTAGTGGTGGGAGGAGAAACAAAAAGAAAACATAAACAAACCCCACAAACAGGACCCTAATACTAAATCCTGGTCATTGCTGATTGATTAAGAATATCAATAAATCTTCAACATTTAATTTAATTCAGATAAGTTAAATATAACAGTCTACTGTTTTTTATGTTATTCCATATTTTATCATGATATAGTTATTCCCCAAGCAGCTTTATTTTGATCAGGATTCTAGGGAAAGGCTGAAGTTTACCCCATTAGCCTTTTCAGAGAGACCAAATGCAATCTGGGCTCCCACTCGCTCCAGCAGTCAATTTACTATGACAGCTTTAAATTAGTTTATTTTTGAAAGATGTTAATAATCGCAGAATCCAGAGGGGGGAAAAAAAGCACATACATGAAGAGAATCATTGATCTGACCACTACTGCTCTGTAATGTCCCTAACCTTTTATTCTGTTGTCATTCGTCACGTTATTGTTAACATTTATCCACAGAGTTATAATCCCAGTTAAACTATAATGTTATAAAACGGTTGCAGGCAACAGAGAAATTGAGAAATCATCCATTGTAAAAACAGACTGATTCAGAAGATCCTTCTTGCTTACACTTATAAACACCTACAACAACTATTAAAAAAAAAAAGTTACTGCAACATTTAATTTCCCTTTAGGATTAATAAAATATTTTTTAATTAAATTGAATTCTAGTCAAGAGCAGAATGAATTAGAAAAACAATTTTAACTACGAAATGAAACCACCCTGATTTTAGCATATCTTTGTTATCAAACGTTTAATCTAATTGTTCCAGTAAAACTCACGTTTCTTCTCCCTCTTTACCAACTTACAACAGAAGCTCTTGATCTTGCAGGTTTTATGGACTGTCTGTGTGGTTCCCTGATGTCATCAAACACCTTCAGGCTGATGAGTATGCCTCCAGGGTGAAGATTCACAACAATGAGCGCATTGAAGACTTCACATTCAACTTTACCCTGGAGAACCAGATCCACAGATATGGAGTCTTTCTGAATGACAGGTAGAGCTGGCTGAGGTCCTCCTCCACTCACAGTAGTGTACTGCTCAAAAGTATTGGTCTTTGGTGTAAATGGATGTTTTGTGTCTGTTCTTTGGTTGAATTTTTGGATCTAATACATAAAAATAAAAGCATAAAAACATACAATATATCAACAAGCATTATTTTAGGGTAAGATCTGTTTAAGGATGTGCAATTGAAGAAATAGCACAAACAATTAATGGCAGAGTAGTGGGTGATCTACTAAGATTTTTTTGCACAAGTCTTAATATGTTTAAAAGTGGTGCAGATCACCCTATTTAAATGAGGGTTTTGCATGTGCTACTGGCTGTCACCATGGAGATTTTAGGAAAGCAAAGTGGATTCATTTTATACTTCTAAAAGGCAGCCACAATTTAAAACAGTACTCCATACAGATGTATTACTGAGGAAGATGCATGCAGAGGAAAAAGTAAAATTAAAGGAGCTTTTCTTGTTGTGTGAAATAAAAAAAAAAATGTAAAAATTAGAGACACAAGCATTACGAATAGCTCCTACTATGTGGATTGTTCTTATGCTGGCTTCACACTACAGTAAAGGCGTTATGGGTGTCAAAAACTTGTAAAGGCAGAAATTTGGATGCTCGGTCAGAGGTTGGATCAAACTGTGGTCAAGTTGCTTTGACGTTACCTCACTCTGGATGCTCGGTGCTCTGGTTGCTTATCGACCCTGTTCTGCAGCTTCAAGCTAGAGGGCAGCTTGGCTTTATTTACCTTAAGAGTTAGAAAAACAGTTTTGACACATTTTAAGCAAGAAAGTCCACCTCTGTGCAGTCAGTTCATCAGGATTATGATCCCAATGAAATATGCAGTTCCTGTCCAGACCTCCAGCATACCACCAGTAGGCAGTGCTGGAAATCCCCGCTGCCAGCTTTCTGCTGCAGCCAGCCCAAATAACTTAGGTCAACATAAACAAAATTCCCCCCTCAGTCCTTTGGAGAAATGCTATGTTCCTGGCTTCCACCTTCAGCTGAATTGCATTCGCAGAACATTAACAAAAAGAAAAAGTGTAAGTAAACCATTCAGACAGATACTACCTAAAGTGTGCACCCATTAGAAAATATACATCTAAATGGAATAAATTAAACTTAATCTGGAACTAAATGTAAATTTAAAAAAAACAATACAAAAACTTTGTGGTGGTGGTAGAAGCATCCATCACTGTATCCAACTCAAATTTGAATTCATTTAGTTTTTTGATTTATTCTTTTATTCCCATTATTTTGTAGTTTTTCAAGTTATAATCAGGATATAGAATAGAGCTTTTACTGTAGTTATCGTCAGCCTTGCAATTCTGATCTGTATAGATGTTAGCACTCCCAGCAAATGTCTCACAAGGATACGTAAAACATAGTGGGGATGAATAAAAATGCCAAAAATCTAACTTTTTTACTTAGCTGGTCCATATTTTATATATTCTATAAGTGTTTAGCCAAGCCATGTCAACAGTCGGTCCCCGAGGGACACTGTCCTACAGGTTTTCAGTGTTTCTCTGCTTCAGCACAGCTGATTCTGATGATTGCAGTTCAACAACAGCCTGTTAATCAGCCATCAATGAAAAACAGCTGTGCCCTCAAGGACCGACTTTGGATATGCCTGATTTTAGTCCTAGTTTGGTAATCAGTTTGTACCAAGGGTTCCCAAAGTGGGAGTAGGGAACCCCAGGGGGGTTGTAGCAATTATGACCTGATTCCTGAGGTATACTTGGGGTACATAAAACATATAAATATAATTGGCCAAGGAAATTCATAGATGTAATATTTATTTATCCATGACATGAATGAAATGTAAAATGTCAATGTCAACCTCTATATTAAAGAGGTACAATTAGATTTAAAAAAAAATGCTCAGTTAAATCAATATAATGACTTTTAAGATGTTTAATTAAATGATTAAAAGGTCCTAAAGCGGGCTTGTCCAAAGGTGCTCCTTGAGGGCGGCTGTCCTGCTAGTTGCTTCGTTTCTCTGCTTCTGCACAGCTGAGTCTGATTAATGCCGTTCAATAAAAGCCTGGTAATCAGCTTTCAATGGAAATCAGCTGTGCTGAAGCAGGGAAACAGCTAAAGCCTGCAGGAATGCGGCCCTCGAGGACCGACTTTAGACAAGCATGTCCTAAAGAAACATTCATTCTGTATTCTGAAATAAATATAGAAAGGAATACTTTAAGGAGGTCACCGGTCTGTTATTTTTGGGGTCACAGGGTAAAATGTTTGGAAATCCCTGGTTTATAGAAAGAAACCGCTCTATATAATATATAGAGTGTTTGAATCAGATAAAATATCCTATTTATTTGTATCTGAACATTTTAAAAACTGCACTGACAGTTATAGGTAATTCACAGAATAAACTTTTGGCTTATTTAGTTATTTAAACTCCTCATGTCTTCAAAAAGAAATTACTAATCTAAGAAGCTTTATTAACAACATTTAAAACAAAGGTTATTTCAAAGGTTGCAGGGCTGCTACTGTTGATCAGAACTTTAAACTGGGGTTTTATCCTCCATTAGAGTTGGGATTTTACTTCCTTTGAGCCAAAGATGTAATATGCTCCATAATAGTGGGACAAAAATGGCACATTCAGTTATGCACATTCTGTTAAAGAGATAAATCAATACAGAGCTTCTATTTCTGTCAGAAAATGTGCTTAATTTCTTTATTTACTTTGAAATGCAGTAAAAAGGCTGATTGTTATTTTCCTGCATCATAATCAAGGTTTGGTATTTAAGGTTTTCCTGCTTGAAAAATGAATTTTCTCTTTCTTCCAAGTGTCTTTTTTAAAGCTATTTGAATATGAGGAATAGATGAGATCTACTGTTTGTTCCCCTAGTGAAATATACACAGTATTAACCGAAGAGCTGAATTTGCACTCAAACTTTTATTTGGTTGTAAATATTTCTTTGAAATTCTAGTTTTCCAGACACAGAAAATAAAAGCTGCCGTGTAACACACTCCTGTGAGCTTCTTTTGGCACAGAGTGTTGTCATTAAAGATACTTGTCCTGAAGGGGGATAGCAGCACTATTTGTTATTCCCACAAACAACCACAACAGGTAATATTAATCCTGCCTCCTTTATCTTCTCCAAACACCAGGAAATTAAAAGCCTTATCACACTGCCAGACCATTTCTCTGCTGTCTTCTCTCACATGTACTCACACTATGAACAGAAGGTTCACTTACATAAAGGGCAGAGAGAAGGTGATTATGTAGTGTTTGTTATTTAGTACAGGAGAATACACAACTATACAATAAAATGATGGTTTGTAAAGCTACCATCGATTGTAAAGATACAAATATGTTTTCTGTTTTTTCTGCTGGATTGCTCCGAGGTGTCAATTTTTTTAAAACTAAAACAAAACAGTTTCTAAATACCAATTTAGGTGAAATATTTATTTCTGGACGATTTATTCACACACCAAGATTCAATATGAAGATAGGGACCAAATAAAATAAATTCTAACATGTTTGTAAAGAACCTAAAAACACTAGAAAGCTATACACTTATAGTTTGTTGCAAAAGTGTTACCTCTTTTGATTTTTACTTATTTGTCAAACATTATTATTATTTATTTTTTGCTGAAGGATAAACTCAAAATGAATCCTAGTGGAAAATAACACTTTCTCTCAAATATTACCCAGTCATTGAAAAAGTCTGGGACTCCCTACTGCTTGTCTTTTAAAAATATATATAAATATATATATAGGGAGACATTTACTATGAAGTTAAACACAGCTACTGTATGTGGTTATGTGACTGACCAATAAGAGAAGAGCTTGCTACACACTGCCGTCTATAACCAATTTCAATATAGCGGAAAACATCTGTTTAGCTGTTTTTAGTTAACTTTCCTATATTGCATGATTTCAGATAACTATTGTAAAATCGTCCTTCTCTTCATCACTGATGTCGTGTCTGCCACAGGATACTTCAAAATCTCTCCTATGTCATAACCGATTATAATGTCATGAAGACTGACTGATTCGTGACCGCTGCCACCATCATATGGCGATGACATTCATTGCTGTTGTTTGTCGTTCTCTGTGTGTTTAGCCAATTAGTCAGCATTTTAAGGGAGAGTTTTTTCTTGTTTAAGCATCAGACATTTGATCAGGTGAGTGAACTCCACAGTGAAATCCAAAGAGCTTTCTGAGGCCAACAGAAAGAAAATTTATGAAGCTTTTGAGTCTGGTTAAGACTTCAGAGAAATCTCGAAAGAATTTGAAATCAGCCCTGCTTAGCAGGGAGATGCAGACTGAGGGTCTTCAGGTTTGGTTTCTCAGAGCAGGCAGGCAGGTTTCCAAAAATGAGCTCCTCCAGAGCTCCTGACTTGAATCAGGTTTTCCTAAGAATAATAGTCTATGAGTGGAAGATTTTCAACGGATCTGCCAAGATGTTCAGGTCTGGCCATCTAAAAGTCTAAAGATAAATCTAAAAGCATCACCATGAAATCTATATCTGTTGATGTGAAGCTTCCATGTCTGTACAGTCAGAGAGAAGCCGGACAAGTTTAGCTTTTATTCAAGGAAGAAACTGCCTTGAACAAATGTATAAAGGCCAGAATATGTCATGATGGGTCTCACTGACTTAACCCACATGCAGAACACCACAGGAGACTGGATAAAAGTTCAACAGTTTACTAGTATAAACACACAGAGTTATTATTTGCACTGATTCTGTTACTGGTCCGGGACTGGATTCACAGAGTTCTCTGCAGAGAGGGATAGTTTGGTTAGCCAGGCAGCTATGACGTCTTGACAGAGTTTGATACTGAGTTGTACCTGATGAGATTCAGACTGATCGGTGGAGAGAGGGAACCAGTTGGGTCCAGAGACTGAGGGTTCAGCAGAGAGCTTAGCAGCAGCAGAGCTTGGCTTCAGGCTAGCGAGGTTCAGACCTTGAGTTGTTCTCCAAGTTCTCTCCAGAGAACTAGCAGGGAGATGCAGACTGAGGGTCTTCAGGTTTGGTTTCTCAGAGCAGGCAGGCAGGTTTCCAAAAATGAGCTCCTCCAGAGCTCCTGACTTGAATCAGGTTTTCCTAAGAAGCAGAGAAGACAAAGGCTGGTTAGGATCATGGTTACTCTCCTGAGTGATCAGAGATTCTGATGTGCAGGCTTGGCTCAGGTTCTGCTAACCAAAACTGGTCAACACTCCGGCGTTGAAGGGAAGTCAAGCCGCTGCTTATATAGCTGGTCTCTTGATGAGATGAATCAGCCTCAGGTGTGCAGGTGGCTTCAGCTCAGGAGACCCAGGGCGCTCTCTGCTGGAGAAAAGGTGGCAGATCTCCAGATCCCAAGAGAATACAGTTAACCAGAGAACTTAGATGAGCGGGACTTCTGGAATAATATTCTATGGATGGATGAGCTTAAACAGAATAATTTAGATTTCAAAACAGATTATTTTTTTTTTGGGGTAATGTTAAAAAGAGCATTCCATGAAAATAGCCTAAAACCGACTATGAAGCATAGAGGTGGAAATGTCATGATTTAAGGATGCTGTTGCAGCTCGACCTGGACAGCTCAACAGCCACGGATCCACCATGTGAATCAGGCCTAATCCACACGAGGACAAACGAGGCCATTTTTATAGATGGCTTAGAAAAGCACCAGTGAAGACATTGCTAATATGCCGGGCCCTTTGGTAGAGTTGTGACACAGACGCAGAATCACTCCCACTCAGACAGCTACTGTTAGTAGCATGCGAGGTAAATAGAGATTTTTCCACTCTGGGGCCTTATTTCAAAAATTATCTTTTATGCTCTCCCATGATGCCAGCTCCGTTTGGATGCACAGCGTAGAGGAGAAAATATCTCTGCGGTTACATTGTCTTCATGTGGATAGAGCTTTAGAGGAAATAGTTTGATCTGTATAAAAAACAAAGCTACATGAAAGCTACCCACAACAAACTAATAAAAGCAGCAAAGACATACTGAGATTTGAGACCTACGACCTGGACCTAATCAAAGCTCAGATCATGATGCCATTAAAACAATAAAAGGTGACAGAAAACAGGCTTTATGTGGAAGAATATCTCACGCATCTAACAGCTTAAGTTGAGAAGTGGGACAAATTTTCCAAAAAAGTTCTGACTTATTCAGCCAAAGTGGATGATAATCACTATCATTCCGTTTAACTCCTTCTATTTTGGAAATGTGAAGATTAGCATTTAAAATGAGCAGATTTCTTTTTTAATCATGACATGTTTTATATATACAAATGTTTTATAAATCTATCACGGTTCTTTTATTTTTAGGGTGGGTTTAGATATTAAAGGAGCGTCAAATGTAGAATTTTTTTTAAAGTAAACTTTCTAAAATCAACAATCCAAATACACTGGGCTAATTTACTCTGAACACCAAATTTGGTGTCTTTGCTTTTACTGGAAATAGGAATTCTGCCCTTTGGTGATATGAGCAAAATACAAATGGTTCTTTTCAAAGGGAGAAAAAAGTCTGCATCAGCACCTCTGGCAACAGGACAATGTTACATATCCGTCTAAATCCTGCTTTGTTGGATTTTACTGTTCTTTCTATCTCCTCTCAGGTTCATCGCCATGAAGTTCAAGGCAGTCACATTTATAGACTCTTCTTTTGTCAACTGCTATTTCGAAGATGTGTCTTCAGTAGGATCCTCCTTTAAAAACTGCACATTTGTGGACTCTTTCTTTTACAACACCGGTGAGTCTGCTCCTAAACCCAAGATATCTTACTATTCTCCTTAAGGAAATAAAGAACAGCTGCCTTGGGCATTTGCATGCAATTGAGTTGTTTTTATTTTTGTGGCTTTTTTTGTTTAAAGAAATCTTTCACATATGTAGGAAGGTTCCTCTGGGACTCAGTATTTCCTCCTATATGGAGTCCTGAGGCTAAATAAACTAAAACATTCAAGTGATAGCATCATAATTAGGGGTGGGTATTGGCAAAGAAGTCATGATTCGATTCGAATCACGATTCACATGCCACGATGCGATTCTATCACGATGCATCACGATACTTGAAATATTGCGATGCATCGCGATGCATTGCGATATTTTCACTGAACACTAAGAAAAAGATACAGCCCTTACCAGTGGCTGACTGGCTGGGTATGATCTGGATAGTGTCTTCAATTGATACATAACTGAAAGCAACTGAATTCATACATAGCTGTATTTATTGAAACGACTTTTGGAGGTGTTGCCATGAAAACAAATACTGGAATCAAATATTACTATTACTGGCGTGGACACACTGACAAAAAGATCTTAGGATTCATCAAACTTATAATAATAAGGATAATCAGTACCGTTTACATGGCCTCAGTGGTCCTTTTGCAAATTACATGCATCGTCTCAATTTCATTTTTACCTTCTTTGTTTTTAAAGCCAGAATGCATCAAAGCATCTGACTTGAAATGTGATGGAGCCGGGGGGCGAATTTTCTCAGTCTCCTCCATATTTTGTTTACAAATGACTCGTCTCAGTATCCCGCGGCCGGAAATGATTTTGACACAAAGCAGCGGGCGTCAACACATCCGCAGCGACATCTGCTTGACTGGAAGTTGTATTCCACTTGATTTGGCTGATGTGCGCCAACCATTAATGTATTTTATTTGTTCTTTTTTTTTTTTAATAATCGATTCTTGAAGGCAAGAATCGATGCAGTAGATCACAAAAATTAGAATCGCGATGCATCGATTTGACGATTATTTTGCACACCCTTAATCATAATGCCAGAGGAAGCATATAAAGGATGCTTAGGTGGTAATACTGTTATTAAAATAAATTATAATCTATAAAATGCACACAAAATGCTGACAAAAACTAGTTATTTAGATCTTGAGGAAATACAAATTTGAAAAGATTGATTACAACTGAAGTGTTTTGAATGTTAATTATTGAAAGTGAAAATAAAAGCATTTTTGGTTCTGGAGTCATTCATACAAGCATTTTAGAATTAAAAGATTTAAGGTACAAGTAGGATAATGGCCGGTTTGCAATAAATAGCAACATGTACATCTTTTCTTATTTTTTTATTTTTTAATGATTAAGAAAGATCTTTGCTAGAGATTTGAAGAAGATACAATGAAGCATGAAATGTTTTTAAAAATGAGAAGAAGCATCCTTAAAACTGATATGACGAGCCGAACCTGGAGAGAAAAGGAGAATGGACAGACTGGAAAAATGATCTAGCAATAAGTAAAAATTTATTAAATAAATTTTATTTACCCTTGATTTGAGTGGGTTAATGAGATAGTTTCCCAATGGAATGAGTATGTTTACTCTTAAAATAAGACAACTCGATAATAGGCACTTGAAATAAGACAATATAATTGTGTTTTTCTTTGTCTTGTCTTGTTCTATTGGCAAAATTTCTCTCTTATATCCTCAATTCAAGAACAAATCCACTTATTTTAAGAAAAAAAAGACTTATCTAGATTTGGATTTTTTCCAGTGAAAATTTTCTTTCAAACAACAAAGAATCAAACACATACTGTAAGGGCAGGATTTTTTATAAAGGGTAGCACAAACAGCTATTCTGGTCACTATTACTCTTTCACAAACTGCCAGGATAGTTTGTACAGTTTCCATTATTGTAATCATGAAGGTACTGATTTTTAAATACTTCTGGTTATTTTAGGAGAAATCTTAAAGTGAGCAAATATGTAGAAAGGAATGAAAATATATGTTGGAAGAAATTTATCCCTATAACTACAGAATAAAAGGGAGAAAAAAAACAGATCCCTGTTGATCACTTTTAGATTTTTTTTTTAACCAGTGATGATAAGTGATTCTTCTTTTTATATTAATGTCATGTTTGTCTTAAGGGATCTAACCCACATGCAGAACACTCAGAGGCTGGGAAAAAGTTCACAATGTTTATTGAACAATCACAATAAATGAATACTGATTCTGGGATTAATCGGGTCCGGTCATGACTGGTTTCACTGCAGAGAGGGACAGATTGGTTAGCAGACTTCCAGGTAATCTTGTGGGTTGAGTGAGAGCAGGTCTATACCTGTTCAGAGGTTGTTCAGAGCGGTAGAAGGGGGCTAGGCAGAGGCAGGGCTTAGTTAGTGATCTTACTGATCTGGATCTGAGCTTCTCTCTCAGCTTCTTCTGAGGGCGGACAGGCAGGTATCTGACAGATTTGGTTTTCCAGGGTTCTTCAGAGAACAGACAGATTGGTTACAAACTGAGAAACTCTTCCAGGTTTCAGGTTTCGGGCTGGTTCTTCCTGAGAAGCAGAGAGGACAAAAAACAGATTAGGTTCAAGTCAGGTTATCAGGGAGTCAGAGATTCAGACAGGCAGGTTTGCTCAGGCTTGCTAACCATAACTGGCAAAACACTCTGGCGCTGGAGTGTTGCTCTGCCCCTCCTTAAATCCCGGTCTCCTGATGAGCGAACGAGCCGCAGGCGTGGAAGTCAGCTTCAGGAGACCTAGAACGCCCTCTGCTGGAAAAAGGTGGACAGACCTCCAGATCCCAACAATTAATTTATTAATGTACTTTAAAATAAAGTATTTTAAATAAATATTTTAACTGAATGCAAAACTGATTTTTACGGCCTCACTCAATAATTCTTTTTCAGCTTTGCTGCTGTAATTGCAGCTTAACTGAATTTTTTCAATTAAACGTATCTAAGGGAACTATCTTTGTCTCTTTGTCACAATTCGTTTTCGACTCAGCATCCGAAAAACATCCAACTTCTTAACCTCTTGAAAAGTAGTGCTGTACTGATACATCACTGATCCTTTATGCCAAAGTAAAAAAAACATTAATAACACATCTTTAATAATTCATCACATCATGATGTACAAATAAACAACATAAAAGTAAAAATATCAAACTAATTTGACTTTATGTCTTAGGTTTTGCTAAGTCATTTAAAGGCTTTAAAAACACACACACACTTAAAGCAAAATGAAAGCAGCAGAGGCATGAAATTATCTGAGAGAAGTGGAGCTGAATCAGACCTTGTGGGAGCACCAGCTGGAAAAACAGCTCCCTCCAGCACTCAGGGAAAGCGCTGAACATGGAAACAGTGAGGCCACGTCAAGTCGCCTGAAAAGTCTCCTGGGAAATGAAGTCTCATTGCTCCCAGCAAGTTGTCTCAAAAACGGCGATGAAATAATAAAAAGAGCAAAGAAAGAATGAGAAAAGGAGGGATGTTGAGGGGAGATCAGGAATGTTTTCTGAGGTATAATGACTCAGCATTATGCAGCTGGAGGGTTTGTTTAACTTTATATAATGATAAAAAAAGTTAAAATAGATGTTAATGTCAGCAAAATTACCATATACACATACATATATACACAAAATACAAAGAGAAATAAAGAAACACTAAGTGAGAATCATTGTATCCTATTCGATACTTTTAGACTTTTTGCAACCTCTGCATCATCAGTGTGATACTTTTGCTCTTGAAAACCCTGACTCACAAAATTAGACATGTAATGAACAGAAAATCTAAAAAAGATTGTATAGAAATGCCTAATGTATCACAACCGATGCAAATAAAATATCGAATTCAACTTATACAACTTATTTATTATTTTATTGTCAGAGTTCAATGATAACTCTAATTTGAAAAATATAGAATTCTCTGAAAATTGAATGCATGGTCCAGGCTTTAAAGAGTTAAAAATGATTATAAAATAAGGATAACTTCAGTTAAAAATGTGGGATTTACTTAAAAATGCAAAGCGACTAGGCTGTGATTATTTGGAGAAAAACAGTCCCAGAGTCTCGACACAAACGCTACAGATGCTTGTTCCCCTTTAGTTTTAAGCAAAGATCTTGGCACAACCAAAGTCCAATGATTTGCTGATCTTGTTCATTGAGCTGAAACATGGAGAGAAGCTCAGAAAGATAGCTAACCCATTCATACTTTTAAAAACCATTAACAAAAACTTAAAACAAATCCTGTGACTTACTGGAAGCATAAACAGTTTACATGTTGTTCTATATTTTGTGTACTAATAAGAAGCTTTATCTTTAATTCACCTTTAAATGTGACTCATAAAAGCAAAATTTTGAAGTTAACCCATAAAACAGGCATAACATTGCCAGATTTCTGTGGAATTTTAATCAATAGAGGCGTTAACTCACGCCCTTTTCACATGGTGCTTTTCTCAGATATTGACGATGCCAAGTTGACCAACTCAAGAGTGATCAACAGCTCTTTCCACCACAACAAGACTGGCTGCCAGATGACATTTGACGATGACTACAGCGCCTACTGGGTCTACTTCGTCAACTTCTTGGGAACGCTGGCTGTGTTGCCAGGAAATATTGTCTCTGCTCTCCTCATGGACAAGATTGGACGCCTTAGCATGTTGGGTAGGTAAAGGATTTACTCTGACATTGGTCTCTGGATTTCAGCCTTTGCATCTACAGTATGATAGCCTCTAAAGCTATAGTGGTATTCCACATGCTTTACTGCAGGAGGTTCCATGGTTCTATCGGGTATCAGCTGCTTCTTCCTTTGGTTCGGCACCTCTGAGTCAATGATGATCTTCATGCTCTGCCTCTACAACGGTCTCAGCATCTCTGCGTGGAACTCCTTAGATGTAGTCACCACTGAGTTATACCCTACAGATAGGAGGTGAGTATGCAAAGAATGCTCTTAAACGCTCTTAAATGCTCTTTCAAAAAGATTGGCATTAAAACCAGTGAGGGCTTGGGGCTTTGGGGCTTGAGCATGCATCCATCTTTGATGAGTTCAGAGTGGCAATGCGTTGTCCTGTAAAAGCTGAAGCTTTAATTGATTGAAATGTTAAGCCTACTTCATATTAAAAGCTTTCATTTAGGATCAGAATGTCATTAAAATCTGTTTCTGTCTGTATTAAACCAATTAGTTATTGAAACCTAGGATTGTGTATAATATGATTATACTTAAGGAACCTTTTAGGTCTTCATTAAGGTAAGCACAGAGTGAGTGAATGAACAGTGGATCATTTTAATGTAGTTTTTTTAACAACTAAATAACTTCTAACTGGCTTTTGTCTCTTGATCTTCAGGGGCACCGGGTTTGGCTTCTGTAACGCCATATGTAAGCTGGCAGCAGTGCTTGGAAACCTGATTTTTGGCTCACTGGTTGGCATCACCAAAGCTATCCCTATTCTCCTGGCATCCTCTGTTTTGGTTTGCGGCGGACTGGTGGGCCTTCGACTACCAGACACACGTTCCAACGTCCTCATGTGAAGTCAGCCAAACAAACTGGGTTTACCGGGTTTTTACTCAGTGTACCGAGCTTTCATTTTTCGAGCTGATGTTTATTTTGAATATCGCTAAACCAGTCGTTGCTGCCATTGTCAAAATGTGTTTCATCCAAGAAAAAAACAAACAAAGCTTAATATCATGACGAAATAAATACACTGCAGGCAACTTTTCTTTGGTTATTTCTGAGTAAAATAGCTGGTACAGAGTTCAATGCAGTATTACAGAGCTGGAGATCTACAGAGAAAGCTTGTATGAGAAACTACCATACAAATGCAGCAGTTTTCCCCAACTGTTGGTGCTCTTACATTTCTTTAAAAGGCATATCTGTTATATTGAACTCTGTAAATCAGCAGCTCATTAACAACAGAACATGCAAGCAAACCGAGGCGTGAGCAAAGGCTGCAAAAGGCTTGGAGTTCCAACAACCTTTCAAACCTTCCACAGTGTTTGTTAGAAGAAAAAAAATGTAAATTTTAGACATTTCTGAGTGTTAAAAGCTGTTTGACTGCATAGCCAAGCAACTATGAAAAGAAAAAAGAACACATTGAGTCCATATATATTTATTTTTCATTTTTCTTATTAAGATTTTGAAGTATTTAATAGAGCTTAGGCTTAACTTCCGATATATTTCCGTGGTGTCAATCTGGCTAAACATTTTCAGGGCTGGTTAAAAAAAAGGAAAAAAAAAACACCTCTATAGGAAAAAAACACCTTTTTTGTGATCTTAACTGAACATATAGTGTGTAATGATTGCAATCTTTTTTTTCAAGAAGAGAAAAGAACCAAATATATGAGACAAAGACAAAGATTCAGATGGTCCTGACAAAATAGGAACTGCTTTCATGACTTCTCTTTCTCCTGTGACTTATTAATGCAGAGCTTTGCGTTTAATGATCCAACTGATCGCTGAAACAACCTAATCATCTAAAGGAATCTGCTGATTAGATATTTTATTTTTAGTATGTTCTGCTTTAGAAGTATTTTTTTTAACCTTTCCTGATTCGTGTTTTGCTCTCCAGGGCAGAACGGCGCAAAAACATAGTTAATGGCTAAATGCGCCACAGACAGACAAACTAGCTGCAAACACATGAGTGAAGCAAACTCTGAAACACAAAATCTCAGTTTAAGACAGTTTAAAAAGCTCCAGAGGGGAGCAGAGTTTTCTAAAACATTAATATGATGCCCAGAAGAAAGTAAATTTTCTTTCATTTTCTTTATAAACACAAGCCAGTAATCTTTACTATATTGAAAAATTTATATATTTTCAATATATATTCGTGTTATTAACTGGGAGTCTGATCACGATCACCCTTTCTTTAGGTGACTGACTTCCCTCTTTTTAGACTGAGTTTGCAGCTTTTTTTGTTGTGTTTTTTTATTTATTTTTTTTGTTCCGGTCTATTTTCTGTAAGTGTAGCAGATTTACTTTACATACATTGCAGCAGTTTTCTTTTGCATAAACATTTCGTGTATTTTAGAGTTAGCGTTATTCCATTTTCTGTGACATGTTTTTATGTGTTTCGGAGTTTCCATCATTCATGCCTCTGCAGCGCTTTTGCCGGTTTCTGATACGTGCAGCCGCTTGCTGCGTTCATTCAGCTGTATTATGAAGTCAGCATAAATAGGGATGGCCAACAACATTTTTTACCTATAGTTCAATAATACATACAAACATCTGATGGTAACCAGCACCAGTTGAAAGTTGAAGAAAAAAGGTGGGCATTTTTTATTAAACCACCAGTACTATAATCTACTAATGATGAAAGGAGGGAAATAACCAGCATCCTTGAAGACAACAAATATCATTTTTCACCCACAATTAAACCTTAAAGTAATTTAGGACCAACTGATGCAGAAAGTTTTTGCAATAAGTATATTATCTTCTAAAATATGAATACATGAAATACAATGTATGTTCATTTGTTTGGTCCAATTTATGTGGTTTTATTCATTTGAGATTGAGTATGTATAGTTTATTATTGAACTATATTGGCCTACAATTAAATAAATGTGCGAGCAAATACCAAAAAAAAAAATATGTACGATAAGTACTGGAACTAAATAACTAACAGTATTTCAAGGAAATATTTCAGAAAAAAGCCAAATTATTATTCTTCAATTGCAGCGGGTTTTTTTTTTTCAAGTGTTACCCCTTAGTAAGAAATCTTCACCAAAATTAAGTGGCATTAATTTAAAGAATTGCTTTTTTAAACCAAATAAATCTTTACAATAATTACAGCAGTATTATCTTTCATATTGTTATTTGTAACAGAACAAAAGGGAGATTTATTTGGTAAATGTGGATAAGTTTAAAATTCCAACAGATGATCAGTAATGCCAGTTCTCCCAAAAAGCCTCCAAACTGACAACTGTTCTGGTTTTATACTTCCTTCATTTATCAAAGCCAGAGCAATTTATCATTCTCAGAATTAAATCTCAAAAATATATCCTAAAACATTTATTCAGTTGTGTTACTTGTAGTGTAGCTTCTATCGGAGTACCCTTAACTTTCACTCTAGCACTACTTCAACAGTTTTCTCCATATAGAATTTAAAGAGTAGTCATCCAAGTAATTGTAGGATCAAAGCATCTGATTTAATGTTTAGAAATGATGCAATTACTCAGAGGTCATATGTGAATTCTGGTCATTTAAAGACTAAAATAAAAAGGAAAAAAACTGAATTGAATTAAATTGAAATTCAATTAAACCACATGATTAAAAAATGACTATTTCATTTTTCAAATCCTTTTCTAAACCAACCTCTGAAACCAATTCTTACAGTGAGTAAGTAAACAGCAAACATGATTTCCACTGACAGTATCTACGGTTTACTGTTCATTAACTCTGTGAAACCCAAGTTATTCTCAGGGGGCAGAAAAGCCAGAAATTTAACTTAAGTAGCAGTAGTGATACTTTGCAATATCACCCAAGTAAAAGTAAGAACTACGATGCAATAAAACTACTCCTTTTCAAAAATCTACTCAAATAAATGTAACTAGTCACTACACACCTCAGGAATCTACTATGCAGAAATTTAGCTTTTGGATTTGGTTTTGCATTAGTAGAGTAACTAGTTGGTTAAAAAGGTCAATTGGTTACCATATGGTGAAAAATGGGGGTGGTTCTATTCAAGGCTACATGTTCTAAAGCCGGGGTCACCAACCTTTTTAAGGCTGAGGGCTACTTCATGGCTACCGAGTCATAGGAAGGGCTACAAATACTGACCTATGAACTGGAGGGATCAGTGTTCACCTACAGTAAATCTCATCCATAAAAACTCATTTTTATTCTTATTTTATTCTTTTATTCATTTCTAATTTTCTTTTTAATATTGTCATTTTGAAACCACTGAAATATGATGAAATAGTTAACATGATGAAATATAACATAAATGATTAAAAAGAAGAGCAACAGAATAAAAAAAAACTTAACCCACTGAGTGAGTTCTTCTGTTTTCAGAAGACGAAGAGGGCACCCCATGTGGTCCTTGAGGGCCCCCTGGTGCCCGCGGGCACCGCGTTGGCGACCCCTGCTCTAAAGCCTGGTGATGATCTAGTGCGACACCTAGTGGGGTTTTATTAGGTTGCACTTCGGACTGGGCATTATGACTGAAAAATATATATCAAGAAATAGGCCTTTCTATGAGTCAATATCGGCAATGATTGATTAGTGTTTAGTTTACTTGTTTAAACTGAAATTGACCTGAAACACTAATCCTATTTAATTTCGACCGTTAACCTTTACAAACAGGTCCACCTGACTACCTACTTTCCTCAGCCTGGCTGTGAGGGGCAGAGGTTAAATCCTTTCCTTCATCTATGTCTCGAAAAAGCGAGAATAGTTCTGAATCAAAGTTCAGTGGAATTATTGAAAATTCAATCAGACCTAGTTTCTATTGATAGTGATCAGTTGTCTGTTGTGATAAACATTTAGAATGATTTATTTACCTCGTTTTAGTTGCATTTCTCACTTTATAGAGTAAACAACGTAATCCAATCTCCACACTAGATTCTGGAAAATTTAAACCTGCAGTCATTGTGATAAGAAGAGATTAATTCCCTTAAACTTTTAGGTTTTTTTTATTTTTAAATTTTTTTAAATCGGAGTTATGGTTTAGGTACGATTCAAGATAGTTGAAAAAAGACTGTATGTATATAAACCCTTAGAATAACCTAATGGTGTATTTCTTGTTGATTATCTGGGTGTATTTTGTGGATGAGAACCATATAATAATAATAATAATAATAATCCTGTTATGATTTATGCAACTACATCTGCAGCAGATCATCCAATCCTTCCTTAGCATGTTACTGCCTAAAAAAATAAACCTGCAGTCATGGTGGCAGAATAAGTGTGCACCTCTTTGATCTTTAGGGTTTTAAACATTTTTATGAGTTTTTTTAATTTATTAACTTTTTTAAAACAACATTTTCCTTAATGTTTTATGTTTTGTACCATAAATGATAAAAATTCAGAGTAAAAAGACATTTCTGCACATAAACTTTTTGAATAACCTAGCTGTATGTTTAACAGGGTGTATTATGATGTTGAGAACCATATCATAATCCCTTTACATTTTATGCAAATTAAGTTATAGCAGATCATCTAATACTTCTTCTAGCATCAATAAATATGTTTCTGCTATAAAAAAGCTATGATCAGTTCCGTCTTTCTGCTAATATATTTTGTTTACTTTTTCTTTACTGATCTCAGATACTAGTTAGAAACTGGGAATAGGTTTTCCATGTTCATTGAAAACTCCCTGAAAGGTTGAAGATCTTCAAGCTTTTTGCAGCCTTTTGCAGGAAGGAAGAAAAAAAAGATTTAAGTAAATAAAATAGTAGTTTAGTCAAAACTGGCAACTTCTGCAGCTACATTTCTAAAAGAAAAAAAAAGTTTACATGGAGACCTTAGGGAGTAGGGTCCTTTTGTCTGAATGCTTCCTCTCTCTTCCTCTCTTTGTGTGTTGCGACGTCAGGCTCACCATAAAGGGCTTCGCTCTTTGTCGCAATCGGATCTGTAAAGAATTTATACCACATGTTGTTTCTGTTGATATCTAAAAAAGGCTCCCTCTTCCCAGCTCTTTTTGCTAATGGTGTCTCTTGGTCCTTTGTGTCCTGTGTTGACTTCCTCTGCCTTGCTGCTGCTCACCGTCAAACTCAAAGG